AACGGTTTAATAATTCAACAGCAGAGGTGTCAACTTTTGTGTGGCGCATTAGTACAATGCCGATTACTCCGTTGCGTTCATTCAATTCGAATTGGGAAAGCCCAAATTATTCATTTTCTCACCATTAAAATTAATCCCCTCATTGACTTGCATTTGTTGGCCGAAAATTGCATAAATACCAAATGATTTTGGCCAGGTTCGCTGCTAAAGTCTTTTGTTTCCCTCGCTAGGCTGCCACTCTCGAATGTCTAAATCATGTAAATCATTTCTACGATTTAACCTTGTGCGTCGAGACATAATTGCCAAAGCAATGGCGCATTTGGCCTATTTAGAGGAAACTAACGCCATCAGGTTTCTTTTTTTTTGAATTTTTTTATTTCGTTTCATTTTTTGCTTTTATTTTATTTAGGTTTTTTTGTTTTCATTCGCGTGCCCACGATTACGAAGATTGCCATTGTATTACAGCGTGTAACACACAACGATAACAACAATGCAAACAATAATCATAGCGCCAAAGCAAACCAACAACAAATAACAAAAACACAATCGTGTGATATCAAATAACGCAAACAAAAGACAAAAATGTCTACTAGCCGACTTCAGCTTCATGCCACCAAAAGCGTGTACAAGCTCGCGCTTGCAGTCGCATAATAATATTCAACTCTTCGCGGGGTTCATTCGTATGTATGCACATCGGAGCCACTGAACTTTGGCATTGTTTTTTAGAAAATGCAAATTTTATTTTTGTTTTCAACATTTCATAACTTCAGCCCATCTTTCACATCACATTAATAGCAACCACTGCAGATATGCGCACGCACGCGCGAGCAGCTTGACACAGACACTCTAGCGTTGATTTAATGGCATTCCACGAATGTCAAAAAAAAAAAAAAAAAAATTTTAGAAATGGCAAAATTAATTACCGTAAAAATATATCCAGTTGATGACTTCTCTCATTTGATGGTTTGTATGTCTAACGATCGCCGCACGATTTTTGATGTAACAAATTTAGAGCTTAAATAAATAACGGGAGACGGCTAACTCAGTGCGTACGTGAACTCAGTGCGAATAGTTTAAATTACACATTAACGCCAGGCGATGAAGGTCCAAAAAAAAAAAAAATAATTACAACAATACATACATCAATCCATCGATCTATCTATTCATCAAAGCACTGCGCTGAGATCTCTGATTATTAATACAGTTAAGGTCGTTTTTTGTTTTTTCTGCTTGGCTGACATTCCAAAAACTCAAAGAATTTAGCAAACTGAGAAACAAAAACGCTGCGGGGCGCATATCATGAACAAAAGCAACAAAGCAACAAAGCAACAGAAATATTTTGTAATTTGGCTTTGAATTATTTAAGCCGATTAGATACACTATTTGCTTGCTATTCTTTTGAGCGAGCGTCTGAGTCATCTGAGCCATAATCTGGCAATGAATATTCGGGCAATGCGCCAAAATAGCCACCCAAATATGGGTCAAATATCACTAGCTTCTTCTTCTTCGTTTTTTCTCCTTTTTTCCCCGTAAAAATTTTTTAACCCCCCGTCCCAAAATTAAAAAAAAAAAAAAAAAAAAAAGGCCTACAACAATCGAAAATGTCGAACAGCGTTGACTTCGATTTTATTTGCGTCTATGTATTTTAACACAAATGGTAGTAAACTAAATTAATTATGCACGAAGTAAGTTATTTGTTTTTTTCTGCTAATCCGAATATTATTAATGGCAACCAATTTAGGCGCTGACACCCCAAATGGTCAGCTTGAGACTACAAATATTCAGCGCAAAAAATGGCACACAAATTTTTGTACTAAATACATAAAGAACGCAATTCGTCTATTTCCTGTTCGAGTTCAAAGCCCAGCTTCCTTATATTTTGTTTATGTTCAGGATTCTATTAAAAAATTATAGGTACGGTGACCATATTTATGAAAGCCGAATACGGGACAAAAAATTATTTTGCAAATTTTGTCCACACTGTTTTCCCTTAAAGAGTATCCTTATAGTAACATCACAAATTTGTAGTATAATTTTCTCGAGATTTTTACCCCATAAAATTTGTTAAAAAAATTCGTTAAATTTTAGTATCAGAAAGTGCAATTTTAAGTCGGTAAGGCTTACCACTAATTGTTGGCAATTTTTTTTTGTTTTTTTTTGTTGACAGTGTTACGCTTTTTTTCATACAAATTATGTATGTTCGGCCTTCTTTTTTGAAAGAGAAGCAAATGAGCAGCACTTTCCATTCGCACTTTATTAAACTCAATTTTAATGAGTTCCAAAACTGCAACCCAATTTTTTTTCTAAACATTCTATTTAAAAAGTTTGAAATTTTGGTGAAACATCGCAGAATTAATTTTATAGTTTTTCTTAGGAAAAGAGCTTTACTTTAATAAAATAAATAATAAACATTAAATAAACTAAAGAAAAATAGCCAAAACTTACTAAAATGTCGGGTCTCAATTTATATTTTGGTCACTGTATGTATTCTTCGATTCGAATCACAGGCATTCAGATTAGAAAATAATAACTGTTTATAAAGAAAATTGCCATTATATACCAAAATCACTTAAAACTCGTTCATAGGCAAGCCATTTTAATGAGCTGTTAAGGCTTCGGAGCGCCGAATACGGGACAAATACAGGACATTAAAAGAAATACAGAACATTTGGCGTCCCGTATAAAATAAATAAATTACCAGGACAATGGGTCGAAAAAGAGGACTGTCCCGTATAATACAGGACGGATGGTCAGCGTAATTATAGGACCAATGAGTTTAGTTCGCACAATGATTGCACGTTACACTAAATAAATAATTGTAAATGTACTTGGCATAGTAAAATGTGAACACTTGCAATGCGAATAGAATCGATATTAATTACATACATACATACATACAAAGAACGTGGTGTGGTTAATTGGATTTTGTAAAGAACGCAATCAATAGCAAATCGTAATTAATTTCACGTACAAATATGTGACTTCCCATGGAGGTGAATAATTTTCGTTTTTTTTTTTTTTTGTTTCTCCCTTCTCTACGCTCAAGCGTTGGTTGACATCCGCGGTAGGAAGATGTGCAAAGAAAGGCAAGGCGAGTTTCATCCGCTTTATTGTTGTTGTTTGTTAATGTTTAATGCATATTACATAGTTGTTGTTTGTATGTTTGTATTTGTGTAAGCACTCAAGTACACACTTGTGCATCTATGCATTGAATAATTATACGGTTGAAAATCAATTTTAAAATTATTCAAATGCGCATAGGACGCCAATGAGAATCTCATTTACCTTTGACGGTCGGTCACCGATATTAAAAGTGTGTAATTTGTTCTGTGTTGTAAATTGGATTTGCTCAAAATTAATAAATAATTGTTAATTTGTTTGAAACCGCTTGGGAATCGACGTGAAGCGTTAAAGCGATATGGAAAGTTGTTTTCCAATTATTTTTATCGTCAATCGTATTTTTCAAGCGTTTAAGGGTACTTTTAATTTACATATATGTATGTATGTGTATGTAGAGGCGCCATTGTAATTATCTTTTACACACCATACTAAAATTGTATTCCGTCACAGGGTAGGTATCAGGTTGAGAACGGATCAGCGCAGACTATTTTATCATTTTATACTTTGAGCTTTTATTTAGGTAACTTCATGAGAAAAATGTGGTAAGGTAGAACCGCTGAGGGTCGGTATTAAAATTCTTGACATTTGCAAGCAATTTAATTTAAAATTTCATAAAAAAAAAAATTTTAATTTAAAATTTATCGAAATTTCTTAAATCAGTTTGCAGCTCTCAAGAAAAAATGCTCGTTTATTTATTTCTTCAAGAAAATTTATAGCAAAAGCAAAGTGTTTCTTGAGAGCTGAATTCTAAGCTAGAAACAAGTACACTCAGAAAAAAGCATTTCCTTAAATCAATTAAATCCTTATTTTAGAGTTACTGTATTTTGCTTAATATTACGAAAAATTTACTCAATTTCAGAAATTTTTCCTTAATTTAAAAATAGGGCGTCATTAATTTGAAGAAGTAAATTTACTCAAAATAAGTAATAGTTTCATCAATATAAATAATAATTTCCTTAAATAATTTTGAATTTTGTCAGTGCTGTTAAGACAAATTTAATTGCTTTCCTGCTTTAGGTTCTGTGATCGCAGGTTCGAATCCGGTTGGAGGTGGTTAGAGTAAGGTAAGTCAATTATTTCAATTTAAATATAAATTACAAATTGTAAAATTTATTTCATATATGGAAAAACCTAAATACTCAAATAATATAAAAAATAAATTTGTTATTTAAATACAATTTAAAAAATGACAATTAAAAAAATTAAAAAAGAAAATTTAAAAAAATCCTGCTCTGGGACTCGAACCTTGCATCTGTCGACTAGCACTCCAGAGCTTTGCTCTGTCGGCCATTGCCACTGTTTGAGCGTCGCAAGCAAAATTACATACTTATTCCTTTCACGGGTGGCAAGTAAATTTTTACTAAAAATTAAGGAATTGTGTTTTCCTTAAACTGAGTCAAATCGTTTACTCATATTATTATTTCAAGGTAATATTTCCCTAGAATAATATACTTTTTTCCTAGCATCAAGAAATTTTTTTTTCTGAGTGTAATTTTTAAGTAAACAACAAAACCGACTTCAAGTCTTATATAAAAATTTAAGATTATCTTTAATTTCTTCATGATCCAATGATCAGATTTAAATCAAATTAATATGGGACCACCTCTAAGGGTACCACCTTTCCTTAAAAAAAAAAGAATTATAGAAATCGGTTAACGTGGTCCAAAGTAAAAAAAAATATTACGTCGACCCTCTTCTTTTTATGAATTCGGCTAAAAAGAGAAAAATTTCCTACTTATAAGACACATTTGATAGACGTCGTTGAGATTTTGTTTTTTTTTTTCAAAACATAAAAGAAGGACTCGTTCTCCCAGCAAGCTCGCAATCTTTCCATTTTAAGGATATTTTTAGTTTTGAAAATTAACAGAGTTAATACTCACCGCACACACTGTTAAAATCCAACAATACATCCACATTGTTTTAGTTTTTAGCCTTTATTTTCACTTGATGCCTTTTCTCTAAATATTTTCCGCTTTTATTTGTTCTTCCTTTATTTGTTTATTGAAGGCAGACTAAAATTTTCACATCTATTCCGCTTTTTCGTTTCTTATTTCTGCTTGTTTAACAATTTTATTTCTTCTTTTAGTTTATTATTATCTTTTCTATGCTTTTCGCATTGGGAATTTTTTAATTGAAAACTCTTTTCAAGTACAGCGGAAATAGCGAAAAGCCAACCAAGCCGATTGCAGCAATAAAACGATGCAAAATCCAAAGCAAAATCAAAATGGAAAACAAAAACAACAAAGGCGTTGCATAAACTGCTACTTGCACGCAACTTGCAACACCAGTCGCGAGGCAACGTTTAATTGCGCGGCTCGCATGAAAAGCGAAAATTGCAAAAACGCAGCTAACGATGTGAGTAAGTATTTTTGCTACTTCGAAGTTTTTCCAATATCGCAAAAATTCGTCTGTTGCGCTTCCGTTCAGTTGCTAGACAAATGCGCGCCACAACTAAGCATCTAAGGATCAACAAGTTTAAGTTTAAGTAATCTGCTTTTTATGCAAACACTTTCGTTTATTTTAATCTTTCAAAGCGGTGACACAACCGAAACTCTAAAAACTAATCCAATTCAAAGGTTTGAGCTACTCGATTTGGTTGATGTTACGCCGGCGCGCTTGTTTGCCTCACTGTGAATGCTCTAAAAAAGCAAAACGCTGGCACGCTCAACACTCGCTTGGCGGCGGCAAATCACCAGCTCGCTAGTTCGCGCTCTTTAAGTTGGTCGCTCGCTCGGTCGCTCGGTCTCCTTTACGTTTTTGTTCGCTTTTCCACTCACTGCACTTGCGGGCACTACTCAAGCGTGTACGTCACTTGCTGGTTGCCACAAAACGCGTCTGTGATTCGATATTCGCGTAGTTTGCGCTTTTGTTTGCTACACCACACAGCTCGGCGCCGAGATTATTGCATTCACACGTCCGTCAACGAAGCTGGCTGAAACGCCACTAAAAGCTGAGCTAAACCATTTTGAGTTTAAAACTGAAAACTTGCCAACAATGAATTGATCGCGGGCGGCAGCAGCGCAGCAGCAGCAGCAGCAGCAAACACAGTCAGTGCGAAATCCAATACTCCACATAATCACACATCTAGACGGGAATGTGGGAGTTTTTTTTGTTTGCCATTTCTATGCGCACAGCTGGTGCCCGTAATGCGCCTTTTCGTTGATGGTTGCCGTACGGGAACGGGCTTTCTCCTCCATCCTCATGCAGCAACAACAACAGTGCTGCGGCTCATTAAAATCTATTTAAATAATTGTTAGATTTTTTATAAAGAACGAACGAAGATCGATACATACATTGGACAATTCCATTGTTTGCGGAAATTTAAAAATGAACGCTACGGAGATTACAAAATTGAAATTCATCAGAAAACTGCATGCTTTTTAATCCTAACATATTTTTTTTAAATTATTAGGGGTATTCTCGGAGTCTTGCAAATGCCCTTGCACGGGGGCGCACGGGTTGCACGCTAAAAACCGGTTTTCCTATGGGACAGCTTTGCAGCCGTGTGTAATCCGTGCACCGTGAAAGGACTTTGCAAGACTGCGAGAATACCCCTATTGCCATAATTTTCAGTTTGCACTTTTGAAATAAATTTTATTTAAGTAGGGCAAATATAAAATATATCTGAGAAGCAGACACAAATATCAATACGCTAACGGTAACGAAATATAAAACTAACGGTAACGATACCTTTAGACGATATTGACTTTAGTGACGAACATACAAATTTCCGATACAACAACATGCTATTCAATATTAAAAATTTCAAAGTTTGTGAGTGAGCGAGGGAGTTCAAATGTTTAGATTTAAGGATCTCCGGGCCGGTTTTCTAGTGTTTTTTTAAACAATGACGGTTCATGCCCTCTCCAAAAATGGGTGGGAGGTGCCCTTCCCTTTAACCAATGCCCTTATTGGAAAGTTTCCCCTTAGCAAACTGTTTCCCATCAACGAATTTAGAGCACTTAGCTTTCCATTTTGCAACCCCTTCTAGTAACTCGGTGGTATAACATATTTTAGTAAAATAAATTTTTCATTGATTTACTTCACATTTGCATATTTCCAAGCAGCCAACATACTTGTCAAATTTTTATATTGTTGCAGAATCACTTCGCTTTAATTACACAGAGCCAAGTATGAGAAATACTCGTATCCACTGTTGTTTTCCAATTCAATGAATTTAAAACGGTATTCACTCAACACTGTCTCTTGCACCGCCGCGGCTATGTAGGCGTCTCTGCAAATCCACCTTTAATTTAGTTAATTTTTTTTTCATCATGAATCATAGAATTTTGTGCTTACGCTCACAGCAGCTGTTTTTGTTGATGTTGTGTAGCTGCTGCTTGCTTACTTAGCCTTGAAATTGTGCGCGCAGACTCGGTTTGGCGCCAAAACTTCGTCTTATTAAATAAACATACACAAATGTATAGGTATTATCACCTGATCAATCATATATTTATATACATATTTTTTTTTTTATGTTGACGCGATTTTGATGGCGTTTGAACAAAGACTTTTCCCAAGCACGCATTGCTATGCTTCACCGAGCGCTTTAGAGTATAATGAAGCGTGACGCCAGCTGCTGTGCTGTGCTTGCAGTACTCGTAAAATGTTGAATTTTTTTAAAACTCAGACCTTTGCACGCCAAGTGAGTGCGTGGGCGTGAATTGTACGCAAATATGTACCTTTGCACCGTCGCTTGGGCTAAACAAAATGCCTACACCGGAAGATTGCTTCCACCGATAGTGAAGCTTGCGGGCCAAACTCTGTGCGGCGCGCTATAGCCTAAAGCAAATACTTATGTATGTATGTATGTATTGACTGCTCTCATTTACGGCGAAATTAGCTAAACAAACACTTGTTGGGCAATCGATATTCATACTGAAAATGGTGCAGCGGATTAAGCGCCAAAAAAATGAGCGATATCAAGGTCACTGGCCAAGTGATTGGATTGGCATCTGTAAGGGCACAAAGAAGTAATTTAAATAAAATTTTTAAAAGACAAGCTTTCATAATTGGTAAATAAAACATAAAAAATCCACCGCCGCAACACCTTACGAGTAATTTTTTTGTGGAGGATTCTCTAAATACCTGCGCCACCTATCAGCCATATTTCACGGAGTTATTCCTTTTCAATATATTCCAAATATAAAGCATATCACATAAATATTGATTTTTCAAATATTTCGACACCTGCGCCACCTAGCAGATTAATTCATGTTTTTTATTAGGGGTATTCACCAAAATGAGTAAGTGGCCTGGTACTCTGCTCAATTGGGTGAATACCTATATTGTACTATCATCGGGTTTAATTACTATTCAATTGATATTTCAAGAAAGTTGATATGCCCGCACCCTAACGGAGTATTATCAAGGCAGACGATACAAGCTCAAGCAATTCCACGGATGAGCAGCCTCCATCCAGAATTTTTCACAATTGAGCAATTGTCAAAAATCTGATTTTTAATCAAAAAGTTGTTTATTGAAACCACCTTCTTTTTTGTATCATGCAAATAATCTTTAATTTTTTATTGAATGTTAGAAATACATATGTACCTATTTTGCCGTGTTTTTGTGAAAAACTAATAAAACCTTTGAATAGTTGCCTTTATTACACTTTTAGCTTTTTCTCTAGCCTTAAAAATTTTTTATTTAGCTGTTTTAAGCTCTTTTTTTATCCATTTAGCTGCATCGCTTAAAAAATTCTGGCAACACTGCCCTAGCTCATCGAAAAGTTAGTTAAAAATTGATCGCAAGATTTGATTCCACTTAATAAAAGCTTGAAAAAAAGTTTAATTTGATTTTGAACACTTACGATATTACGAGAGTATTTCAAGAGTATAAACATTTTTTTGGCGGCACCCTGTAAAAACTACTAAACGAGTCCTGCATTAAATATTTACTTGATATTATTACACACATGTGAACTTTTACTGCTTTTTAATAAAATATAAGTAGTATTTTATTAACAGAAAGATTATAATTTTACATGGAGATTATTTTTCTGATACATAACATTGCATACAGGGTGTCGTCTTCAGACAAATGAACATAGCTTTCAAAATTTATGAGACATAATAATAGTTATATATGTACATACACAAAACTGTTTTTAAACATTTACAACGATGTATCCTTAGACAGAAATCGGACATCAAATATGGAGGTTATAAAAAAACGGGGTGACGAAAAAAATTTTTTGCTTTCCTGAAATACTCTCCTAGTGCTCTAAATTGCGTTGAAAAATTTACTCTTTTTCGACTCAAAAGCACATCGTGATACCGTGTAATGTACATACACACACACACATACATACGTGCAGACACAGAGATGTAGAAAATGTACGCCAATAAATCCATTCATTCTTTGACGTCATTAAGTTTTATGTACCAACTCGCACAAATACAAACATAATTTGTATACAACAATGAAAAGGTTTATTTATTAATCCTCATGTAAAACTACTTTATGTATATATGTACTCATTATTTTTTTGTACAGTGTTCAGAGAGCTATCAATGCCATGTGTGTCAATCGTATTTGCTTTCGGCGATAACTGACTGTCCTTTCTATCTATGGCGCCATCGCTGTGCTGCCGGTGTAGGCTGGCGTACTAGCCGCCACCGGCTTGTGGGTGACCATTTGCTCCGCTCGGTGCTAATTGTCTGCAGTGTGGAGAGACCGAACAGTATTTGTCACTCCCTCAGTCTTTTTGCCTTAGTTCGCAAATTCACTGCGAAATTTATGTCTTCGATGTCTAACTTCGGCTTAATTTATTTAATGATTTTTTTTTTTTTTTTTTGTAATTTTTATAAGTAGCTTTTTATGGTAAAAGTAGTGTGGGCCGCGCACGTCTAACAAAATAAAGTGTCATTAATCAAGTTAATGTGGAGAAAAGTTCCGCTTAACCGGGTGTGTAAAAGCTAGCAATTCGGATAGAATTACAGGCTAAAAATGTCGATGAATAATTTGCTGATTGGTGAACACAAAAAAAGTTTAGAACCTACAGACTTTACCACACCTCAATTCCATAAGTAATCAGTAAATAATGTGCTGATATGGAGTAAAATTTCAATGAGAATTAAATTAATTTTAAGCCGCCTCCAGCTTGAAATATCTTAACCAATTTGAGCGCAGTCATTTTTATTTACATTTTTTAGTTGATTATTCTAGCGAATACTCATTGTACTTTGTTAAAGTCAAAATGCTTCAAGATGCAAACAAATTCATGTGTATCTACAAATTTACGATATGCGGTTCAGAAAAAATCAATTTTCTCATAAATATAATTAGAAAAAGGAAATATGAATAATTCTTTAATGTACAATGTACAATTCTCAAACGAATTAACCAGGGACGGTAATCGTTATGAGTAAAATTATTTAAATCAGCATTTAATCATTATTTTATGATTTTTATTGTTTTCGCTTAAAAACAAAATAATTATTATTGAATTTTAGTTGTTCGCTCAACGGAATCAATTATTTGACTTTTATTTTTTGTCACAAATAAAGATTACTTTATGATTTTTATTTTTTCGGCCATACAGCCGCAACTTACTGAAATTTTAACTTGAAAATTTTGGAACTTATTCCTTTTTTGTAGGGAATATAGGTTTTGAGTTGTTTTGAATAATAATTATTTTTAAAAGAGAAAATAAAAGTCAATAATAATTATTATCTTTGGGCGAAAAAATAAAAATCAATTAATAATTATTTTCAAATGAATATAATTTTCTTCTTTTTTTCTTATCCCAAATTCACGAAGTGGAGAGAGGTCATTTTTAACCTTATCTATCTTTCCATTATATTTAATTATCAAATAGAAATCTCCATATGTATATCAACAAAATTACTTACAGACTACTTCAACATAGATGATGTCACTTCATTTAACGTAATTTGAGATCATACATAGGAGACCAAAAAAAAAATCGATGATGGCTAGAGAATTTTAGAGAATATTGAACTCTATCCGCGCTTTAAAA